TCCATCTCCTTCTCCTCTTCTTTCTTCTTCTTCTTCTTCTTTCTTCTTCTCTCATCCAACATCTCCTCCTCGCCTCTCATCTATGGGAACGAACCTACCGAAGAGATCCTTCCTCGTGCTAACGCCGCAATATATTGCCATTTGTTCTGCCCGCTATAAGGCAATATGTTTGTCAGTATCGCGGAATCGAACTCGAACCCTCGAACTCTCGAAACGAAGTGAACCGATCTTGACCGTTATTTCGCTCCTACGTAAAGGAAAATGCATATGGTACCGAGACTCTTCTTCTCTTCTAACTAATTTTTTTGTTTTCTTTTTTCTCTCTTTCTTCTTTCCTTTTCTTTCTTCTTTTTTTCTTTCTTTCCTTCTTTCAATTCTTTCTCTATTCCCAGTGTATCACGTATGTATATGTCGTATATATTCTATTAATGGCATAACACGAGATCGAAAGATTTCAATCGAACAAACGATTTGACTTCTTTTGTTTCTTTTTCTTTCTCCTCTTCCTCCTCCTCCTCCCTCTTCCTCTTCTTTTCATTTCCGTCTATTCTCCTTATTCATTTGTTTCGCACTTTGCAACCATCTCCGATTCTTTGAGTCCTTTTAAACTCAAGAAAAGATTGTTCATTCTTTTGTACGTTATTATCTTCCGCGTTGAATGAACAAGAAGAAAGAAAAAATAAATAAATAAAAAGAAAAAAAGAAATGAAAATTCTTCCTCGTTAATGAGTTTCAAACTATTGGTATTACATGGAACGGTTTAAGAGAATTTATGATGGCCAGTTGCTGCAGCTTCTGAAGTAGCTGATCGTAGGGAAGCCTCCTGGCGATCGGATGAAAGGTGAGCAAGGGTTGAGGGTGTGAGAGATAGATAGAAAGAAAAAGAGAGAAAAAGAAAGAGAGAGAGAGAGAGAGAGAGAGATAGAGAGAGAGAAAACGAGAGATGTTATCTCTTCGCTGGGGCGGAACATCGAGGGTGGTGGCTCACCGCTCGGTAGTTTATACTTACTCGCACTTACTTTATTAGCTGCTAGCCGTACGAGATACGACGATAGCATCTGACGTACGAGGGCCGGCCGCGTTATAAAGACGTGACGATGCGCGATAACGAGGCATAAGAAACGACGGATTATTAATTTCGTGTCTGGACCATAATCTCTCTCTCTCTCCCTCTCTCTCTCTCTCTCTCTCTCTCTCTCTCTCTCTCTCTTTCTCTTGCACATGATTTTAAAAATGATATAACGGAACGTCGATGATGATTTTCCAAAATAAATATTTGATCGACATTTCTTTTCCATATAACTTCGTCGATTTTTATCGAATATGTCAACCTATAACCACACGTGCGTCGAAGTATGACGAATCGAAAAGTACATCTCCCTATCTATCGAGAGAGAGAAAGAGAGAGAGAGAGATGCTCGCTGCAAATCGGTACATTTCTCCATGTCGGAACAGACGTTCCAATCGGCTTCGCCTTTGCCCGTGATATATCGTTCCATGCCACACGAAACAACCGCGAGACATTTCTGTTTTCACCTTTGCGACCTACCGTCCCTCCGTTGATATGTAACGCTATAATAAGCGTATACACCATTTATAGAATAACGTTGAATACACATATCAAGAAAGTGTAAAAACAAAAAAGAAGAGAAAAAAAAGAAAAAAGAAATGATTAAAACTTTTGGTTTGTCATCGTAAAAAATTTAATCTCTTACATATCAAAAAGAAAAAAAATATTTCTTGTTTTGTTTTTTCTCTCTTTCTTCTTTTCTATTCTTTCTTCTTTTTTTCCTCTTTTTTCTTTCTTTCCTTCTTTCAACTCTTTGTCCAATTTCTTTTTCTATTTTCTTTTTTCTTATATATATATATATATATATACATATATATATATATATACGTTACAAACGAATTCCACGATCGACAGGTGTTACAAGTTCTATCGTATAATGTTAATCGTTTAACAAGCGTTTCCTAGCGTTTCTTCTAATCTTCGATAGTACAAATCTCAACTCGTGTAAGCTGCTCTAACGTGGATTATGCTACTCTTGTAATTAGTTTTCTTCATCGACAATTTAGAAAGAGATAGATAGATAGATAGATAGATAGATAGATAGATAGATAGATAGAAAGAGAGATAGAGATAGAGATAGAGATAGAGATAGAGATAGAGATAGAGATAGAGATAAAGAGAGAGAAAGAGAGAGAGAGAGAGAGAGAGAGAGAGTATGGAAATAAGCTCGATAGTTGTTCGCTGAGAAGTCGGAACGCTGGCCAACAGCAAATGGTTAACTCTGATTCGAAGAATTCGTGGCACGCGTGCTCGTAGTTGTCTTTAGCCACGAACACGAGACTACTACTTCTACACAAACCTACGCGAGCAACGATAATAAAGCCGTACAAGAGAAAAAAGAAAAAGAAAAAAAGAAAGGTAAAAAAGAAAAAAGAAGAAAAAAAGAAAAAAAAGAAAAATTAAACTTCATGCGCGCCAACGGACCGACCGACCGACCGACCGACCGACCGTCCTGTCCTTTCGATTTCCAAAGCAACACGATCGAGAATTTGTGCGCGCGCGCATGCACACACACAAGAGCATGCACACGCCGCTCGCTCCTTAGTCATGCAAAGACAACAGAATACGTAAGTGCTGACAGCGGAAAAATAATGAATTATGCACAGTGCGGCTCTTTCAATACGGTTGCGGACCATTGCGGTATAGACTCTTGCGCGCGCGCGCGCGCGCACTTAGAGATTATCCGTCCTCGTAGCTTCCATTCTCTTTCTTCTATCAATTCTCTGCCCACGGCGCGGACGCTTGATAGATCTACGTCGAAGAACGACGCAACAGCAACCTCCGCCTCGAGCTTTCGAAAGAAATTACTTTAGAAACTTTTCCTCCGCTAACTCTACTATGCTTTTGCATTTCTCCCTAAGGAAACTTTCAGGAAGTAAATTATTTATCGCATTTTATTTCGATCCGTCGTTTAAATTGCAAACAAAATTTTATTGCTCGTCCATAAAAACGTACAATATATTATATTTGAGTAATATGTCTTTTATCTTTATTATTAATAATCAATCCTGTATGCCGTTTGAATTAAAAGAAAGATAAAAGAGAATATATATATCCATTTATCTTTGCCAAATAAAATCAAAGTAATAATAATTATTATTATTATTATAGTATTGAAGAAAATATAAAGTGAATGAGTTTGATAGAATTCGACGTCTTTCAGATGCATTTATCAGGCACATAGCAAAGTGATATATCGAATTCATGTTCGTATAAGCTCGTTGAGGCGTGGGACGTCACGTGTGGGTGACGTATGTGCGAACGAGGACAACGCTCCGTGTCACCAGGTATTCCAATTGTCCTGTTACCAGTGACGCGGACTCGCCCTGAAAGGCACTACGGTGAAACGCGTGTCCGACAAATTGCCGTTTAGACCTAGCGACGATATTTCTTCGACTCTTTCACGTCGTTCGACCAGTACAGACTGACTTTCGATTATCATCCGATAGATTATGTACATCTTTCGAGAAAGTCAACTTGTTTCTTCTTTTCTCTCTCTCTCTCTCTCTTCCTTTTTCTTTCTTTTCTTCTTCTTTTTTTTTTCATTCCATCTTTTTTTTTGTTTCTATACGAAGCTAATAGACGGAACACTAAAGTCCATTATCTTTTTTTGCGCAAATCTTTGTGTCACGTCTCTCTGAAGCCAAGCCTCCGTTGTCGTGATGTTCTTTGAGAGAGAGAGAGAGAGAGAGAGAGAGAGAGAGAGAGAGAGAGAGAGAGAGAGAACTTGGTGATCACCGATAACGTTGCTTTACGATAATGTAGCACTTAACTTAATTTCATATACTGCATTATGGGCAGTAAAGGCGCAAAATGAAACGAAATTTATGACATAGCCGACGAAAAGTAGCCGGTCCTCTCTCTCTCTCTCTCTCTCTCTCTCTTTGGTATTAACCGAAGTCATATAAATAAAAAATAAAAAAAGATAAAGAAGGAAAATAAAAGAATAAAGAAATAAAGAAATAAAAAAAAAAGAAAGAAAGAAAAAAGTAAAAGATAAAAATTCGACATTTTATGTCGTTTCGCGTTCAACGGTTAATACCAGCATCGAGATGTCCTTTTATGGGAAGGGCTCCCTTTATATTGCACGTTGTACTGCTAAGAAAAAATATGTCTTCTTAGGTCTTGGAAAGTTCAAAGCGTCAGCGAATCGTCTTACACCGGCCTTCTCCTTTCTCATCTTCTTCTCATCTCAATGATCGTTCTTCCTTGCACGAATCCTGGGCACTCCCGTTTACGAGAAAAACGTTTCGACGATGGTACCGGCTCAAAGGAGAATCGGAAAAAAGTAGGACAAATTGCTTGGCGGTGTACGTCGCGAAATGACACACCTCGGTGACTGTAAAACTTGGTGGTTCGTATATAAGAGGAAGATGACGGTGAGAGACCGTCGATAATAAAATGCCGACAGAAAGAAAGAGAGAGAGAGAGAGAGGAGAACGTTCGGCCGCGATTCGCTGTGCCGTGCCCTTAGCAAGCATTCATAAATAAATTTTAATGAATCGCCCTCGATATTTATCATGCTGCATCCATTGTCACCCGATTACTTGCAGATATTATTTTCTCTCTCTCTCTCTCTCTCTCTCTTTTTCTCAAGAGTAACTATGTCATTGTCGTCGAAAAACTCCTTTTCCTATCCAGCAACAAATTTTTTAATCGCCTTTCTATCATATTTCTACTATCAATTGTTATTCCTTTATATCCCCTTATAATACCGTAAAGAATAAAGAGAAAAGAAAAGAACGCGGAAGGTGCTCGTGGTATCGATTTACGCTGTACGAGGAGATAATACACTCTTCAAAAGGTTCTTGAGAACATTAAAAAAAAAAAAAAAAAAAAAAAGAAAAAGAAAAGAAGAAGAAGAAAGGAACGAGAAAAAATACAAAGGGGGAAAAAAAAGAAGAGAAAAAAAAAGAAACTCTTTACTTACGCCATTGCGTCGGTCATTATTTCGTCACGATCGATCATTGCGCTTTTGCTCCTTCGATTTTCTCATCGGTTATCAGCTCACTCGATCGTTCGTTCCTTCGAGCATCGAAACGAAACGTCGATTCGATCGATGCTTCTCGCATCTCATCCTCTCGACGTTCTCTCGAAGAAAGAATCATAATATGTATTTCGGTGGATCCTCGCTTTTTCTCTCTCGCTCTCTCTCTCTCTCCCTCTACCTGCGTTTTTATTTGCACCGTTTAGTATATGCTCGTCGAGAGAACAGATCCGCATCGCTCTTCGTAAATTTATTAATTTATTTATACACACGTTATAATTGTATCGTTCGTTTTTGGTACCCTTTCACAGTATGCAAGGAGTATATTTTTTTGCTTGTTAAAAAGATCTATGAATCGATCAATTTAAAAATCATCTATTATTTCGAAAGATCGACAGCGCTTATAAAGCTTTTTCAAAAGGATGATAGAAACTTAACGACGATAAAGATTAAATTCATAACGTTGTTAGCTCGTTCCTATCTTATATAAAAATGATTTTTAAGATAAAAGATATTATTTTTGATATTCACCTTTAATACACGAATGGTACTTAATATCCACGCGCTTGTAATCCGTAAACGAGCGTGACGCATTCGCCTTGACCTCGACGTAAGATATTATGCCTACCTATGCTCGTCGTACAACACCTCGCCGCAAAACGAAGCTTTGATTTATACGAAAGTCCTCCTGGCGGTTACTTGTGACTGTCTCTTTCTCTCTCTCTTTCTCGTTCTCTATTTCTTTCTTCTTTTTTTCTTTTCTATGCCTGCACGTACGATGCATGCGGGATGCACTGCTAAAACATACGTACGTACGTACCTTCGTAAATACATACATACATATATACATACAGGAAGGCACATGCACGTGCAAGTACCTACGTGTCTCCTTTTTCGATAACACTATACTACATAAACTTATGTAAACTATCTGTTGACCCGTTTATATCTTTTCTTTTTTTTTCTTCTATCTTTCGTTTTTTTTAAACAGTTCAAAATATATTTAATAGTTCATCCAAATGTTCTCCGTATCTATTTTTCGCGACAAATGAAAATAATATGTACATACGTTTAATATTGCACTTATCGTAGTGTAATGCATTAACAATTTCTTTTTATTTAAACTTTGAAATTACTCGTTCCTTTTTTAGAAAGACTTAAATGAATTCGAATTTTCTCTCTCTCTCTCTCTCTCTCTTTCTTTTTTTCTTTTCCTTTCTAGACCAAATGCTAAAACACAACTTTGTGCAGTTACGATCCAACTAAAGAAAATCCCTTTTAACGTTGCTCGTGGGGTAGCCTCGCTCAAAAGATTGTACGTAGAAAAACGTGAGAGAGCGAGAGAAAGAGAGAAAGAAAGAGAAAGAAAGAAAGAGAGAAAAAGAGAGTATGTGTGTGTATGTGTGAGAAAGAGAGAGAGAGAGAGAGAGAGAGAGACATAAAAAGAGTGAAACTTTTAGCAATTTCGTTCCGAGACGCGGCTATAAGTTTCCTCTCTCGGCTCGTACGCTTTGAACCTCTAGGAAGAATAAGGTAGACGCCGCGCCGTCGAGAGAATTAATGGAAGCAGCAAATAACGGATATTTCAAAGGCTCTTACGCTCCCTCGTAATCGAGTCGATGTAATTAGCGAACGTGTTTGCGCTCGTCAACGCGATCCTACCATCTAGCTCTTCGTAAATTCCACCTAAGCAACGTTCCTCGAATTAGAAACTTTTCCGATTGGCTTAGAGAGATAAAGATAGAGAGAGAGAGATAGAGAGAGAGACAGAGAGAGAGAGACAGAGAGAGAGAGAGAGAGAGAGAGAGAGAGAGAGAGAGAGACCCGATAGTTTTCTCTTAACTAATATCATATCTTCCTAGAGGAATTAGATATATTATCCATACGAAATAATCGTTCGAATTATAACCAACGTTATATAATGAGATATAAAAAAGACAAGAGACAGAGATAGACGAGTAATGTATTTCATGGAACAAATTAATCGCGAACGTTTATCGTTACTACATATGTATGTATGTATGTATGTATCGTGCACGTCTTAATCTCGATTAATATATCATACATAAGATCTGTTTCAAGTGTATATATCTTCGGTCTCATATCGAAAAGCTTTATTGAAAAATATCTACTTATCATTGACATTCAAATATATACCAATTTATCTTTGACAATAATGAAAATTAAAATGTACATTTTTAATACAAGAATACGGGATTATGCATTCATTGAATCGAATGTAATATATTAAATAATGAATTGAAATAATTCTCTTCTGATGATAGTAAAAAATTTCTAGATGATAGGAAAGAAAAAAATGTATAGGCAAAATTTATTCATTCATTGATAAAATCCTCGCTAGAATGCGTAATAATGATTTATATTGACAACTTTTGAATATTACAATTGACTTTCATCAGTCCTTTATCGTGACCTTTAGAAATTATATTTCAAGCCAATTTGACGAGATTCTTTATTAAAACGATGATACGGATTATACCGATAAATCGTATTAATTGGAAGTAATATATATTACATAATGGATTGAAATAATTCGGTTTAATAATAATAGAAAATTTCTAATTAAAGAATTCACTTATTGATAATCAAACGATTTAAATTACCAACTTTAATGTTCCTAATTCTTATTATTATGATCCTTATAAATTAAATTGCAAGTTGATTCGACGAGCTTCGACGTTTCATAATTCAAAATAATAATCCTTTTAAAACTTAATTAAGGTTAAGTATATAAATTGGTAGAATCGTAAAAAGTATCATTCTGGTAGTATATATCTCGGATATACTACTATTGAAGAATCTCCGTGATAGTGCTGCAACGTGGTAGCAGGATGTAGCGTGGCAAAGAAGGATCCAAGAAGTGTGTTGTTCGAGCGTTGCTTCGCCGTTTGCCGCACTACGTTGCGGAGATATTTAGCAGCGATCGGAAACAACAAGCTGCCGTCTAATCACCGATCGACTACCAAGGCGGTCTCTCGTGTGCGAACGTTCACAACAGAGAGAGAGAGAGAGAGAGAGAGAGAGAGAGAGAGAGAGAGAGAGAGAGCGAGAGAGAGAGAGAGAGAGAAAGAGTGTGCAACTGAATCACGCTAACTACGAACCACCTCGTAAGCATCTCGAAGGGAAGACCACCATACGGCTTCTTTCTTCTTTCCGCCACGAACGGACGTGTTTATCTTCTCGAGAATTCGATCTCTCCCCTTTGTCGGTATCTCGGTTAATTATTCAAATAAAACATAATAACACATTAACGTTAACTCTATCAATTGAATCAATCAAAAAAAGAAATCAAAGATATTTGAATAAACTATGAATAGCCATTGGAACTCAATAATTCCATATACGTGATTAAATCGGAATTAATTTTGACGAGTAGCGACGGTTTTACACTGTAAGATCGACTTGTTTCTAAGACGTTCGAAATGAGACTGAGATATAACGTGACCTATGATGTTACGTTTCAAGGACCTCGAAATTTATAACATATCTCTATGTGTAATTGTATATAAACAAAGAGAAAAAGAACATGACTCGGGTAACGGAGTGTATAAATAAGCGCGAAATACACGAATAATGTATATCTCCGAAATCCGTAGTTATTGCGTGACGTTATAAAATTAATACATACGTACATATGTACATCTTACTTAGAAATATTTTATATCTGATACTTTAACGGGATACTTTTACCGAGAGAAAAAAGCAAAAAAAAAAGAAAGAAAAAAAAACGAAAAAGAATATTAAAGAAAAAATCTTGTCCTCTCAAAGTTGATGACGCGTGAGCCAACTAAAACCTTTAAAATACCTTTTGATACATGCGCAGAGACATACAAACATAGAAAGAGATAGAGAGAGAGAGAGAGAGAGAGAGAGAGACATACACACACAAATGTATGTATGTATGTATTATCGAGCTCGGCCATCGCCAAGATATCCGTAATAACGTCGTATCGTAAATCCCAAGATACGCTCGGCCAGCAAATTTACACGGCCGTAAAACGTCGATGCGAGGGCAAACATCGGTGACTTCTATTTGAGTATCATGAGAACTTATCCGTGGTATCTCGAGATCGCTCATCTTACTTTTTAAAAAGATCTTTTCTTGTTTTAATAATCATTAATAAAACTTTCGCAGATTCGATTAACGTCCGAACGTTACGCTACTTACGCTCATACATACGTATGGTATGTTCCGTATAAAAAAAAAAGAGTAAATAAAAGAAAAAAAAAAAAGAAAAAAGTAAACTAATAAAAAAAAATATAAATGAAAAAGAAAGAACAAAAAGAATGGAAATCATTCAAGGCCAGATTTACGATTTTAAAGTATACTAAAATAGTATTCAACTTGAAAGTAACTCCCCTTTCGATCGTCGTATTCGATTCGATGGAGGTCTCCGAAGTTTCTTGAATGCTATAGCTCGAATGGTTAGAATTGCCGCCGTCTGTGCCTTCCAATCTCTCTCTCTCTCTCTCTCTCTTTCTCTCTTAAAAGAACGTTATCGGTCGTTCGACGAAGAGGAGAAAAGAGATTCAGTTTTATTTACCGGCGTTTCAAGGGACGCCGTAACGATCCCGGAGTACCGGCACGGCAGTTGATGCCCGTCCTCGGCGTTGCCTCTGCTGCCAGGGTGATCCACGAGTACTCCACGTTCGTTCGCCCCTTTAGGCGAGATACGCGGACTTAATGTGTCCCGAGTGTCCGCCGAGGCCCTTAAATGTGTCCACATCTCGTCGGTCTACGTCACTCTTCTACGATTCTAACCGTTGGCGTCCATGATTTGCCAAGAGGATATAGGTAGAGACTGAGGTTTTCAGTCTCGGTAGGAGTACTATGTATTCTAACTTACTCCACCTCTTTGTCCCTTTATTTTGATTATTATTATTATCTTTTTTCTTCTCTCTCTCTCTCTCCCTCTCTTTCTGTTTTTTACTTTTATCTTACAAATATATTTCCTTTTTCTTTTTTTGTTTTTTCTAAATAATACAAATTTTTTATTAAACGTTAGAATGGTAGATAAACTTTGAATTTGTTTCTACGTAGATATAGATGAATAGATAGATAGATAGATAGAGATAGAGATAGAGAGAGAGAGAGAGAGAGAGAGAGAGAGAGTCGTAATTCTCTCGTTGTAATTGTGCATTGTATAGCAATTTACACGAACGTAGAGCGAAGGTCCAATATCGTATGCTGTATCATAGGTACTGTGTCGAGAGTGGAGTCCTAGACTAGCTGCGGTACATTCCCTTATCGGCAAATCGCCGGCTAATCATCATCAATCACTATCGGGTGTATCGGTCGAAAGCAGACGCATAAGTTTTGCTGTCCGTGTGAGCGCGAATGGATATATAGGTAAGTACTTACGTGATATACAGTTGCGCGTTGCGTCGTCGTCGTCGTCGTCGTCGTCGTCGTCGAGAGAAGAAGGGATATAAGTGTATTATTTTTACCTTGTCGAGGTCTTTCCAACGACGGAACATTCCTCTATGGACATTTCTCTATGACGACGAAAAAACGTATTCGATCGTATCTCCTTAAGTGTCGCAAGTAACTCTTATATGAATTTTAGCTTTAGAATCGCGAGAAGAATGACAACAAAAGGTACGGTTTTCTCGCCAATGGGTATCGTAACAATAACCATGATCATCGACGATGATGATGACCGGTTTTATCTATTTATGGGCATTAGAGCTCTAAGAGCAATGGAAGTTTTTTTCCTTAATATTCTTCGTAAAGGCGTCTCGTCTTGTCTTCAATTTTTTTTCTTTTCTTTTTCTTTTCTTTTATTTTTTTTTTTTTTTTTTATTACGATTATCTTCTTTTACGCTGAAGGAAATACTAAGGCATATATGAATATTCTTTCGCAATATAACAGAGAAAGAAGAAGGACAGGGTCAAAGCCGAGCGATATTCTCGCGATATTCTGGTCTATCCTATATCTCGAGGCTGCTGTGCGGAGAAGAAGACGGTGGACCGTTCGTCTTCGTCACTGGCCGAGCGAAGACGTGCCGTAGTATATCCCGATGACCGGTGTGCCCCGTCATTAGGCTTACGTGCTACCGACATACCGGTTTTTCCTTCGCGCCCGACCTTCTTCTTCTCTTTACAGCCCTTCACCCTCTCTCTCTCTCTCTCTTCTTACGAAGATCAAGGACGATACTATAAATTTCTCTCGCTCCTACATGCAAATCTACATGCTCTCTCGCTTCATTAATTATTATCGAGTCTAAAATAACGTATGCGTAAAACGCCGCATACGTAAGTTACATACATACTATTACGTATGTACCTTACGTATGGCCCTTCGCCCGTGGGACGTTGAAACCGTTCGATGGAATAAAGAAAGAAAAACAAGAAAAAGAAAGAAAGAATGAAAAAAAAAACAAGCAGAAAAATAGGAGGGAAAAAAGAAGAGAGAGAGAGAGAGAGAGAGAGAAAACGAACAAACGGTGTCCCTCCGAGCGATTGAGAGAGATAAACGAAGCGGGAAACGTAAGCGCGAGTGCTAACGACGCGTCGAGAGATCGATCGACGTCCTCCTCCTCGAAAAATCAGCAGTTCTCACATAGGTCCTTGATTGCCGGGACTCGCGAATCAGTACTCGGCAATAAAACCGGCTATAGTACTATACGTATGTATGTACATCTCGCGTATACCTTCTACCAGACGTTAAGGTGACTGTAAAGGTTCATTAGTCACCGACTACTACCCAGCAATTCGAGTTCCACTTACACTTTTCCCATCTTTTAACACGCTCTCCATACCTCAGGGCAATAGTATGATGTTGCAGGAGATCCATCTTAACCATCTATCCATTCCAGATAGATATACAGAGAAAATCAAACTTAACTTTCGAAAGTCTTTAAATTTTATATCGTATCATGAGAGAAGGAGCATTAGGGGTTGTAAGATTTACGAGATTGACGATAAACGGAAGAAATTTTTTTACTTTTCTTTTTTTTTTCTTCCTTGTGTTTTATCGAAAAACTAAGACGACATCATTGATTGATATTACAGTTTGTTAAAGCTCGTCTCGTTCGTTAGAGTAATGAAGAAGAATTTTGCGTACGAGAATAGTTAACTGTGTCGATTGGCCGGGATAACGCGTGGGTTTGTTAAAAGTGACATTCATCGAGTCTTTTATAAAGAACAAGAAAAAAGAAAGAGAGAGAGAGAGAGAGAGAGAGAGAGAAGTTAGTCGAAACAAAACGAAGAACGTTTTAATGAAACATTGAAGTAACAATTTTGATCCCAATGAGCTTTCAACTAGGATGCTTTCAAATGGTTCCGAAGGATTCCGCAATTTGTCAGTTTAAAACGAGAAAAGGTGACTGATCATTCTTCATGTGTCACTATGGCCGTGCTAATAAGACGTTATTAGTTAGTAAAAGAGACCTTTTCACGTCGCTGTGGTACCGATCGGTGCCCACCGGTTATTATCGAACCAGTCCGATTCCACTCGCATTCTTGCTCGCCGATGGTGGACGACGTTGATGGATGTCGGATGCTTGTAGAGGGAGAGATCTTGCGGCAAATCGTGTTCCGCTCGAGAACCATTTTCCAAGTAATTGCGAAAGATCCACGTGGTAAAACCGCACCCTAACACTCTCGACACAATTCGAGATTTTTTATTTATTTATTTTTTATTTTATCGCTATAAATAGTATCGCGATCTTGGCGGGAGAGAGATAATGGTGATAGTAGGGCAAAGTACGAAAAAAGAGAGAGAGAAATAAGAAGGGAGGAAGGAAGAAAAGAAGATAAAACGAAATAATCTCCCTTCGGATTATTATTTTTCCGCGTTATAATACCGAATCGAAATTATTTCATAAATCGAATCTAATCAAATCGAATATCTCCTTTCAAAATGGAATTTGCCTCTCCAACGTACATAGGTAGATACGCTCATTACGTTCTCGTTAATCGAGAACGGAGATATTACGAACGTCTTACATAATCATGTATCACATGTGTGCTTTCTCCTTGGTACCCGTGCGCCCGCATCGATCGAAGATCGAAATTGCGAGTTGAAAACTCTTTCTGACTTCGGGAGATTTCAAACGTGAAAATTCCTTCCCGTCCTTCTTTCCCACGTCTTTCGATCCATAAAAAAAAAGAAAAATGAAAAACGGAAAATGAAAGGAAAAAGAAAAGAAAAAGATCCGAAGAGTTATTATATATATATATATATATATATATATATATATATATGTGGAAAGCGTCGTTGTTGAGAACCAATAGTTACGCTTATAATTTTAACGATCTAATTATTCATAAGAGACATCGACCACGCACACACACACACACACATATATATATATATATATGTTCATGCACACATATACTTATTTGCACCTAATCCAAACTTTCCTTATAAATCTAGGCGTCTTATGATCGTAAGAAGGAAACTCAAACTAGCTTAACGGCCGATTAATACTTTATAACGGATAGGCTGCGGGTATAAATAAACGGCGACTACCGAACGAAAAAGAAAGAAAGGAAAAAAGAAAGAAAGAAACTCTCGTGTGCGAGAAAAGCGATAAAAAGCCCGGATGGATTCTGAGAACATCCACCGAATCCTTTTCACAGGTACACATTATATAAAACGTTGCCTCGTTATGACGGCTTAATCGCCTTAACCATTTCATAAAGCATTGGGTGTGGAAAATAAAAAAAGAAAGGGGGAGAAAAAAAGAAAGAAAGAAAAAAAGAGAGAATGAATTAAAAATAAATAAAGAAAAAAAGGAAGAAAGAATGAATAAGAATCTTTTAGGTAGAAGATCGTTCGACGATGATCGGCTACGGCGAATTATCAAGGCACATTCGCTTTTTCGATAAATTAAGTTCTCCTTCGATCGCACCTTTCGACGTCTGCATTCGAGACACTTAATTAAGACAGTTTCGCCTTTGGAAATCGCGAAAGGGAGATCCCGTTTACATTACGGCTCGTTAAACGTTGTACTAACGTGAATATGTCGACGTTAAGTCGA